CCAGGTACACAAGTACACTTGAGTAAAATTTAATACCCACAATAATATCAATGAACTTTTGTACCATTACGATAGGTGAATTTTTTTTTCTGATATCGACTTCCAGTGGCAGGTTAACTATGCTCCTGGAACAGGCCATTTTTCTTGTGCCTGATTAATTTTTATCGATGTGTTTAATACTCAGTACACAACAATCCACCTAATATTAATTTAATTGTCCCTCAATTATTGTTTTCTATGAGTGGAAGTAATAATTCTGCCATTATTACCAGTTTAATAACAACAGGTAACAGTTCACTTGATTTCTCTGTTTCGTCATCATTCGGCTAGTTTCGAATACCCACGGTTACGCCACGAGATGACTGCGCAACTCTTCTGCACTTCATTCCATTTATGAACTCAGTCTGTATCTGTATACTAAGAAGATGTACGTATGTATCCTAGCCGTGTTTGTGAACACTTATGCGTGCCTTTTTCTATTCTAAAACATTTGTGTTAACTTACATTAAGTGATTGTGACTATTCCGAAAACATTTCTCCCAGTGAAATTATCCCTATGGGGCGACTAGCCCCAGGTCGAAAGTTGAAAAATAGAAGCAGCATAAGCAGTTCCTCGACGACACTTTGAAACAGCAGGGTTCGGCGAAGTTTACGCAAAACTTTCTTGGTGAGTAATATACCATTCCTTTTTTTCCGTGCATGAAGAAATCTTCTTGGGTACACACGTTTTTTAGTGATATGTTTTTCTCCTTCTGAAAATGATTCTAAGCCCTCTAGTTCCTTATGTTGGTTGATCATTTACAATTAATTGTTACATCTGACAGTATATGTCCATTTTATTCGTGGTTCGGGCCATTTATTTTTCATTTGAAGAGGTTATATATTGAAAATTACTCCTATTCTGGTTGTGGCTTCTCAATATTTTTAACGAGTGTGCTCTATGGTGTCAAAATTTCAGTAGGAAGTCAGTTGTTAAGTAGTTCAAATTTTGTTGAAGATTGAAAAAATATATAATCTCAGAAAAATAAATGATCTGACCTCAAGTTATTACCGAAACAGGGGAGTTTTTATGGTTATTTTTCACAAAAGCCAAGAAATAAATTGGGAATTATCAAAATGAAAAGACTCTCTACTGTGAATTTTTGCAAAAAATCTTATTTCTCATAGAAGGTACACGGGAAAAAATTTCAGCTAACGGTTCTTGATTTTTCTCATTCGGTGTCCTTGGATTTGAGTCAAAGTGAAGTTTTATGAAGAATGGCCTTACTTGGATAGGTTCACGGGACGTTCGCTACCTGTTAACAGTTTATTCTTCCAATGAATCTCTTGAAATAGGATTATTTGTTTGAATTGTTGAAAAAATAATAGGAGAAATTCAACATATATTATATAGAGGAATTTTCAAATTTCAGGGTGCTGATGGTAATGATGTACCCGATTAGAACTTGATGTCAGTTGATCTAAATTCAAGTGGACCTAGTATCCCCGCGGCCCGCAGATACTCCATCAACGTCTGGAATATATTTGTATATGAGTCAGTTCGACAACTATTGTACATTGAAAATAATTATTTCAAGTTCATTTTTTCATGTAGTTTGTTATGAAATTACAAATGACTAGAATATATCAAATAATGTACCTATATTTTGTATCAATGTTTTTTCTCTTCTATAGAATCACCATCCTCATTGTGTGATACCTTGAAAATATAAAACATGTCTTGCTCCAATATTCAACAATAAGCACATATCCATCCAAATTGAACTATATGTAACAGCTTTCAAAAAGTTGATTCTGTAATGTTGATAAATGATGAATAGTTAACCAGAAACCTAATGATTTGATTTTTCGCATTCATCATTTTTTGTTTTACAGGAATAAATCTATATGCGGGTGGGTCTGCATCATCTGAAAAAGTAGACCAGAAATGATCATTCCGATTCATGATTTTTTATGTTTTTGACGGGTGCACTTGATACTCGTAGACAATATCTTTATGATGTTTCCTATATCCAGGCCATTAAAAATCAGGAATCAGAATAATGATCGTTTCTGGACTCCTTTTTCAGGTATTCACATTGCACATCGCCAATATTTCAATTAAATTGCACATCTGAGATAATTGAATTATGTTCCAGAGACGAGTTATTTATGATCGAAGGACAACTAAATAATGTTTCTGTAATAATTGTATTCTTCAGTGGTAGTAATTAAACGATGTACCCAACATCAGGTAGATATATCTCAGAGAATATCACCTATTTTTCTGCAACAGCATGCTTTTTTACCTGTGGCAACTATATAGTATTGCAAATTTATTAAACTGTTGAATAACTATCATCGAAGTATGAACCTACAACAGGTGAAGAAGTCTCTAAGATAATATAGCAATGTTTCAAAGGGGATTATTTGATGTTCAATGGTAATTAAACTGTCTAATCAATGTTATCCAACACTTTAATAATCCTGAGTTGATTTTAAATTTATTTATTTATTAACGATCAATGAACTATATAATTGAGTGTCTGTTGCAGGTATACCGATTCAGGAAAAATATTTTATCTACCACTATCATACTGTATATCTGTCCCATATAGTATTCAAGTTTTTAACTGTGACTATTAAATGTTTAATAACCATTATTGAAGTTTTTTCTCTGTGTATGGAGTGTGCTTAGTTTTATCTTCGAAAGGATCTAAGTAAGAGTGTTTTAGTTTCGTTACTACTATTAATTGCAAAATGAGAAGCACTTATGGGATTACAATAATTATTGAACTCAACAAGTTGTCTAAGCTTGAAATGATTTAGTTGAAGAAAAAAACGATGTTCTTGACTTTGAATATTGCGATTGCAGGTGATAATTGGGAACGGATTTCGAACCGAACCCACCTGTTCCGTATCATGGATTATAATGTAATTACCAATGCAATGTAGTAGTAAGAGACATAATTTGAAACTTATTAGCGGGAATTATTAAATTTCAGCCATTACTCTAATTAGTCTTGTTGTGGACAATAAAATGCTTCATGAGAGTAATTCGAGATACTTCATAAAACATTTATAAACTTATATGATTATAACCTCTTATTACAGAAAAATAATATACCGTGATAATTGACATTACTGCTTAAGACGTCGGATCATATCGTATTATAATGAGTGCTATTAGCTCATTTCATTCTGTATTCTTGCATCCATATATGAAATCAGAGTGATGATGGAAGCAAAAAAACTACCTAAAATATACAGTATACCTACTGAATGAATTCGTATTTAGCCAAACTATTATTATTATTATTATCCATTTCTGAGGAATCTCCTGGAATAGGTCGATTCTCAATCTGAATTTTCCACTTTTGGAGCGCACGAAAGGAAATTCTTATGATGTTCGGAGTACATCGTGAATAGGAAGAGGAGGTATATAGGTGTTGGAATTTTTATTGAACTTTCGCAGGTCATAAGTTCTTGGGAATACTACCATTGGCAAAGAATTCCTAAGCTTTGCTGTTCTATATACAGGTTGATCCAAGTATGAGTATAATAATTATGTCCGCGACAATTTTTCCAAATACAAAACCATATTGTATAATATATTAAATTATACAGTTTTCGGAATTCCCGTATCACACATAGATGTTCTATACATGGTCACGCGACCACAACCAATTTAATGCCAAAAAGTAGTAAAAGACGTACCTTTTCATCTAATTTGTACCCGATCTCGCTAGCTGCTTGTACCGTTCAGAAATTATATGAAGGGAAGGGCTTTTCCTCACTGTATGTAACGATTCGATATACAACCTGTATCATATTTTCATGTTCATCTAGTATTCCTGATGATAATATACGCATATTCCTCTGGACCTTGTAGGCAAGCCGGACTATAGTCCATCAACCCATCATTCTACAGGGTTTATCTAAATAACACCGAGAAAATTCAAGTTGTGATTCATTTTGGTTCTTTGGGATTTTCTCTCCTCGTTTCTATAAAATAAAAGTATTCGTATTATTTCAATATATTTGTAAAGGGACAAATCAGATGATTTGCCCCAAAATGTCACTGCGTTTAACAAATTTTTCTATCAGGGAGTCTAAAAGAAAAATCCAGTGACATTTTGGGGCAAATCATCTGATTTGTCCCTCTACAAATATATTGAAATAATACGAATACTTTTATTTTATAGAAACGAGGAGAGAAAATCCCAAAGAACCAAGTAAAATGAATGTACCACCTCCTCGATTAACCTACAGACAGTATTTAAGGTGTGATTCCTTGTGATATTCTAGCAAATAAAGTTCAGATAGACATGTGTCCCAACTTGCTCCATTTTTGAGATACAGGATGTTGAAGTTGGAAGTATTAATTGTTTTTATTTATAACCCCCTGTATTAGCTTTCATGGTGCCATAATTCAGTACGGTTGGAGACTGAGAATGTCCGAAAACTAAATGATTCTAATTGGGGTTATTAAGTAATCTCAATGGAAGTCTTGAAAACACGCCTACATCAAAATTTCGAGTCAAATCGAATGTTTATTGTTTCCTCAAGAATTAAGCTAGATACAAAAAAAAAACACAAAGGATAAAAAAGTTGTTATTTCAATAGTTCAATCTAATAAAAATATGAAACTCAGAAAAACCGGTGGCGTACAATGACATTCACCATGAATATCGATAAATTCACCCAATGTGACGCCACTGGAAATAATATTCCGAATCTAATTGCACCAGAAGAAGCCTCATATCACTACTAACAAAACCACAACGTTTTATTGAAATTGTTGAAAAGACAACTGAGTAATGAATAAAAAAACGATTTTTCATGGACATAATAATACCCTGTATCTCGAAAACGAAGCAAGTTAGGACACATGTTTATATGAACTTTATTTTCTTAAATACCACAAGGAATCACCACTTGAATTTTTTCGGTGTTATTTAGATACACCCTGTATATACCTCACGGAGTCAGTGAGTATTCGAGGTTTCACGTAAGTTTACCTGTATGGCGAACAATCCCATGGTAACCAGCCCTATCCAACTGTGCAGCGAATAGAAGTTCGGTATCGCAGGCTGTTTGAGGTTATGGGAATCCAGGACGGCCAGGAATCCAACGGCGACGCAGGGAATAGCCAGGGCGTGAAACACCGTGTGCAGGAGTTTCACGTATATCCGTCTGCAGCATCTGCATATCCGGTAGAGTAGAATCGCTGGAAAAAATATTCGATGTTGGTTATTATCATCATGATGGAAGGAATATCGATAAGACTGATTTAAGCAATAACTGTTGCTTATCCTTTGCACTTTTTCATGGTTCTGATGGCCCAAAGCCTGAAATACGTGTTCTCCTAGTTATTCTGTTATGCATAATCTGATTTTGTTTTTGTAGCAAATGGAAGCGAGTTCCTGTTGATGTGAAGAAGCTAATAATTTTTCAAGACAGACAGACAGACAGACAGACAGACAGACAGACCGACAGACAGACAGACAGACAGACAGACAGACAGACAGACAGACAGACAGACAGACAGACAGACAGACAGACAGACAGACAGACAGACAGACAGACAGACAGACAGACAGACAGACAGACAGACAGACAGACAGACAGACAGACAGACAGACAGACAGACAGACAGACAGACAGACAGACAGACAGACAGACAGACAGACAGACAGACAGACAGACAGACAGACAGACAGACAGACAGACAGACAGACAGACAGACAGACAGACAGACAGACAGACAGACAGACAGACAGACAGACAGACAGACAGACAGACAGACAGACAGACAGACAGACAGACAGACAGACAGACAGACAGACAGACAGACAGACAGACAGACAGACAGACAGACAGACAGACAGACAGACAGACAGACAGACAGACAGACAGACAGACAGACAGACAGACAGACAGACAGACAGACAGACAGACAGACAGACAGACTAGGCCATATATTTAAGATCTGGGGTAGTAGAAGTGAATTTGAATCAAGCTGCACACATACAGTCAATAACATATCCATATTGAATACAAATAAATGAAAAATCGTGACATTCATTCATATAATCCTACCAGTAACATTCAACTATGTACTAGATGGTGAAAGTTCAACGCGGATCACGGAATCAAAGGATCTAGGGGTTCCGTTTAATCAAAAAAAAGGTGCAGCATCTGCACTTTTTGGTCCTGAGCCTTTTCGTGGGATGAGCAAATGTCACCTAAAGGGATAACTCGGGAAATGGGAAGAAATTGAAAAGTCCTCCTACTGAAGAGCAACTCCAGGTTAACGACAAGCGAAAAGGTTCATCAACCATTCGCAGAACCGAGCCAAAGAGCTACTCAGCCTCAGCAAACCAGAGCTAAAGCTTATCACAGGCTTTCTCACAGGACACGGCCCTCTGAGGTACCACCTCAAAAAGATGGGTCTGGCGGAGACTGACACTTGCCGCTCTTGTAACAATGCGACCGAAACCGCGGAACACATACTTTGCTCATGTGAAGTATTAGTCCGCCAAAGGTTGACCACCTAGAACAGGTCTATCTCACCCCTGCTGAAGTGGAAAAGTCAACCGTCAGGAAAATCGTAGGCTTCATCAGAAGTCTAGGGTTAGAGGACCAAAACTAGATAGGGGTAATCACAATAGATCTTCTAGGTCGCAGTGATCGAGAGGTCTCTCAGCCTATACGACCCATCTACAATCTACAATCTACAATCTAATCAAAAACTCACGTTTTCCAATCACTTTCAGAATGTGATATGAACTTCAATGAAAAATTTGGGTTTTTTGATACGAAACTGGACCCTTGACTCCTTGGAAACCATTTATATCACACTGATCAGGAGCAAATTGGAGTACTGCAGTGTCGTTTGGAATCCGTCTCATATGAAAAATGTATCTAGCTTAGAAATTGTTCAAAAAAAATCTCGAAATGAGCATATTTCAAAAAACATGGTATTTATCCCGAGAGAGGTTAAACCTATGATTCATTGATGGACGAGTTTCATTATGATATCTGTAAAGAAATTCATGGACAAATAGATTGTGCACCCCTATTGTCTCATATGCATTCAATGTACCGCGTACTTCATCTAGATTTTGTAGCACATTTCATATTCATATTTCTAATACAATGCATCATTTTGATTTTTCCATATATCTACTATATCTAGAAGTGTTGATAAGGTTCCTAGTGTAGATATTTTCTGACGTTCAAACAATTCAAAAAAGAGATTCACCGTTTCATTCAGAATTGATACTGTTATATATATGTGTAATTATTCTTAATGCTGATTGTATATACACCTGTAAATGGGCTTTCGGGCCTGCTGGATGTATTGCACAAATAAATAAATAAATAAATAAATAAATATTCGTGAAACTTGATCAAAGCCATATTCTTCAATAAACAATTCGCGAACTGCACTAGAGGTCCTATGATCAAAAAGGACAACACCTGCGTTACTGGCTACCTAGCAGAGTCTTCAGTTGGGAAAGGATATCTAGTTTAACTTTCATCATACCATAACCAGCACTTGGCATAGCATCAAATGAACACTCACAAAGAATGCATTCAGAGCTGGGCAAAAAGGAGACTACTTATGTACTGGTAAAATCTACTAGGAATGAGCCGTTCGGATGTGCTTTCCTATAACGTATATCATATACTCCAAAATCTATATAGAAACAAAACACTATTGGAGCTGAATAAGACGAACCACAAGACCAACAGAACGCCTACACTGGGTTACTACAGACTTGAAAAACCGACCTGCCCTGAAGAAGAAATAATCCACTTCTTACTATCTTTCTACCAGGGATCATATTTCGCTAGAGGACCTGAATATTGTCATACAAATTTATGAAATTCATTGAAAGACTGACTTGCAACAGTCAGCTCAAACTCACATTAAAGCATACACGCTATACAGAGTGGCACGTATTTCAATTCATGTCATATGATACCAGGTGATCAGAAAAAGTATACTGTCTGGCTCTTCCATACAGAGAATGCTAACATTTTCAAGCTCAATATGAGACTTCCTGAATTTTGCAGGATATAATATATCCCAGAAAGCCAAGGCATGCTTTTTAGAAAATGTTCACATAGAAACCGTGGTGTGTCCTATGTGAATGAACACAAATACTCAAAGTATAGGTGGACTAGGGCTTTTCCACTCCAACATGAAACTTAACGCGCAACTTTCTCATCAAGAGAGAAGAAGATATATACAATGGAAAGAGGTCAAATGAAGCGACAGAAGAAGTATAACTAACAGTTCTAGCAACCTTGATCTCACTTTTCAGTAAGGCGATCTGTTGGAAAATAAAAACATAGCCCTCATTTGGGCAATTCTAGACCTCTTAGTTTCAAACGTGAAATCGAAATATTAACGTAAATACATTGTGCCATTGAAACGACAATTTGAATGTCATCAAGTACACACAAATTGCATCTCTACTTCTCATTAAAAATTCTGAATTCATTAAGTTCCTATTTATGGCAAAAGAACAAGATTCAAAAATATAACCTTGACCGACAACAAAGCTTCACTAATGAGAAAGTGCGCTTCTCTGCTTTTCCCTTCCAGCTAATTCTCGTTCTCGTGTTCAGTTGGCGCTTATTACCCGTGTTTTGTCTTGTGGCCGTAAGCAATTGTATTGTGTAGGTACATATAGAAACCCGACAGTAAATGACCCCATTGACACCGCATTCTGAGATTAGAAGAGAGCGAGAAAATGGGGAATTACCTCAGGGAAATCTCCTGCGGAAGATGGCGAATGCGGTGAATGAAAGCCATTCTGATGTACAGGTTTCCGAATACTGAATTGGATGCAGACGAAGAATCTCGTCACCTATTTGACTTGGATTTGAATAATTTGTATATAGGTTCCTAATGAAGACCACAGTGGAGAAAGGGGGAATGGAAATTGACTTGACAGCGCCATCTGATAGCCTAACCACTATATTTTCGGCGTTCGCGTTCATTTCGCGGACGTTGAACGCCTCGTGGGGTATAAATGCTCAGGAGGTCAGAAGAAAACTTGAAATTTCAAACCAAATTATGAGAAATGCAGAAGGCTGAAACTTTTTCAAATTTTCATACAATCACAAAATTGAATGATGACAGAAAACAATAAATAAGTCATGGAAACCATCCATCCTTCTCAAAGTGGTCCAGATTTTTTCAAAGGATAAACAAAACACAAAGTCGGTCGACCACAAAGTAACTCTGTGGTCGACCGATTTAGTGTTTTGTTTTTTCTTTGAAAACAATAAATATTTTTCTTGAGGCATGATTGAATAGTCGAGTTTATATTATGCATACAATTATAAATTATTATGCAATAAATCAGTCATCAGCTCGAGTGAAAAAGAGTTGGAAACCAATTTATCAATTATCCTTTCAAAACCACACTCTTCTAGTGGCTTTATTGTGCTCCATTTCGTATAAGGCTATACGTCTTGAATATTGTTGCTTTCTTTCTACGCTTCATTGCTTCTCGCTTTTTACTGATGGCTGAATTACACTTATTATATGGAGAGAGGATAGAACAATATGAAATCGGTAAAGAGCACAATGGTGTTATTTGTATTTTGTATATTTATCCTTCCTGTAACATCGTACCTTACTGAACTCTTTCCTCCACGTGCCTTAAGGCAATACCAGTGTAATTCATTATATTTCGACCCTCCTTAATCTTAATTCTCATTGTTCGAAGACTCAAGTATTGAGGAGGGATCAATTTATGTCTTAACACTTTTAATAATGTACAATGTTTATAAATCGGCAAGGCAACGGAAATGATTAATACCGGTGTAATTGGCGTTACCCCACGCAAATTGTACAAATTCGTTCCATTAAGAATTCAAGTTTTTTGCCTGTGCTCTAACAAAAATGGACCCATGAATTTATGAGTTCTTATAGGTCCATAGATGGATTCATGTTCTTATTTATCTGTGAATAAGTTATGATTAATTATATGGAGCAATTGGAGTGACATGTAACTGATATAACTTTTTATCAGGACATTTCAGGAACACCGAAAACTAACCCTCTGATGGACTGCTTAGGAACCCTAAATGCACTGGGCAGTCAGAACAGATTGACTCTAGCATGGGTACCAGCACATACAGGGTACGAGGGCAATGAAGAGGCAGACTCACTTGCCCGAGCAGGAGCAAGCAAAGCTCTTAATGGCCCAGAACCCTTCTGTGGTATTGCAAATCATGAATGCAAACCAAATCTCAAGAATGGTGGAACAACTCGCCAGGAATGAGACAGGCTAAAGAGTTTATTAAAAAACCATCGCCAACATTAACAGAATATCTACTAAGCCAGAAACGAAGTTCAACTAGAATACTAGTGGGACTTCTCACAGGGCATTGTAGGCTCAACAAACACATGAGTACGATAGGTCTGACTGAAGAACTGCTGTGCAGGTTCTGTCAAGAAGAGGAAGAAACAGCAGTACACATACTTTGCCACTGTGAGGGCTTGTCAAGACTAAGGTTCCTTACGCTGGGTGAGGAAAAACCAGGAGCCCAGAGATACACAGGAGATCTGAAAGCTAGCCTATGGAGTCTCATAGAGAAGGCGGGGCTAGCCGAAGAACTCTAATCGATTTTGAGGGCAGACACAATAGATCTGAAAAGGTCGCAGTGTGGAGGCAGATAGCCCGAAGGCCCCATTCCAAATCTAATCTAATCTAACCCTCTGATGCCTTTTCAGATGGAGATATACGATTTAAGTATTCAATAACATCATATTTTTTATCTCTCCTAAAATACTGACCAAAGTTCTATCCTTTTTCTAACATCTGTTTTTATTGAAAATCGTTGAAAACGACTTTTAACCAGCTTGTTTCATTTCTTTGATTATTTTTTCGAATCAAATAGTAGAAGGATTAGAAGGCTCGATTTGTATGTTATAGTGTATGGAATCACGCCAAGTACCCTTACGAGCGGAGTGCAACAACTTGGCTTTCGCAATGCCTCTCTACTAAGGATGGTACGTCCTTCAAGAGTAAGGTGATTTTTATCACCTTTTTTTCCAAATTCATCATCTATCGAATATTAATACACTCGTTTTTTTGTAGAGATATGCTCTAGGAAGGATTATTGACCTTTGTTTCATGTGTTTCATGTATGTATAGATAACAAATGGAGCAATTGAATGAACAAAATACAATTAACTATCCTTGATTTCTCAGAATTTCGGAACTAAGTTTTGTAACAACTCCTCCAATTGTAGGACACTTCACTTTGGATTTTAACACCTGTGAAGACCTTCCCAGATCAAGATAACATGAGCATCTTCCTTATAAGTTTTCAGCTACATCCAGATTTTTCTTTCCTTACATACAGATCATAGCCTTTTTCTTTCTTGAACACTTCTCCATATGAAAACAACTCTTGACCACCTTGAATCATTTTTTCTTCTTCAATATTTCATTAAATCAAATAGTCGCAGGAATTAGTGGACTTGTTAATGACATTTGATCATCAAGTGTAATTTGTGAGATGAAAATGACTTCTCGGATAATATTCACTCATGTATACTAGACACTGTATAGGTCACGACATGTTCTCTGAAGAAGCCTGTACATGAATCAATAGACTAGTGTTTGTTCTAACTTAATTGGCATCTGTGATTTGCATAGACGGATTTATACAAGGAACCTGTGAGTTATCATTAAATACAATTTGATCACTAATTAAAGGTTGAAGGTTATCAATTATGACATTGACTTTATAATAAGTAGATATACATGCTCGAATATCAACAACTGATTGATATATCAAATCAACAGTTGACATCACATTTAAATATAGGCAAATACGCATTATATACCAAATATTACCAATATACAATCGCTATTAATGAAGTGAATCATCGAAGGAGATATCAAATATCAAAATATATTTGTACCTACTTCTGATTAATGTAATTCCTTTGAACAACTTTCAGATAAAGTTGGTACATCAACATGAGTTCTTTATATTGGCGAAACATCTTCAAGCAACTTTAGTGCCTGAATAACAGATGGCATTAATAAAAAACTAACGATATCTACGGCCCGCCCAAGTGATATATTTCTGATTATATTTTCATCTAGGCGTTTACTCTTTCATTTCAGGAAAGAACGCTGTCAATTTCAACTGACCTAGCCTTTCGAAGAAGCAATGCCATTAAGGGTAGATTGCATGTTATATTAACGAGAGATCAACCTAACCCTGCTAACTATTCAGCTCAAGTATGGGCTGCCATAGAAATATCAAATATATGATGACCTGTCAAATATTTTATGCATCAAGAAGTTATAGTGCACTGTACAATCCAATCATTTCGCAAAGCCATATGGTTGAGTGGGGTGAGATTTCCGTGAAATTGGTATAGGTCCTGTGAATTTGTTAATATTGAGTGTTGAACATTAGTATCTTTGAGAAGGGGCATGAACATCCTAGGTGGTATCTTAATCGGCAACTTAAGCAGACCTCTCAGAATTTGCAGGATATTTCTACTCCATTCTAGGATCTGTTTGATGGTTCAAGCAAGAACGCCTTCGAATATATCAATTCTGTTAGATCAGATCAGCAGGTGAGAATTCATTCCTGCGCCTTAACTGAAATAATTGTTTTGATAGTGGTCTTGATCCATAATCATATATAGATTCGGATACATTTGGTTCCGGACACTCACAGCAAACCAACGTACCAGTACTTGAACCACTCCCTTTGTAAAGAGGTCCCATTAGGGACTAGTTGCTGACGTGCAAACGTTCCCCACCAGTACCAGTGAACTACTCCCTACTGATTTTTCAGTGCGATTGTACCATATTCTGATATCAAACCATCGCTATGTAGAGCGACTATCCCACCCTCTATGACTAGATTTTTTTGAATTGTATCAATACATATATATGTTTCTACTTAGAACATGAATAAGTTGGTACTCACAGAATCCGCTGAAGGTGATGAAACCTGCGACCATCAGCACTGGATGCAGGTTGAACTCTTTGCTAGGGTCTTCTCTCCACGCGAAGCCCCCTTGGTACTGTATCACCCAGAACAGGGTGAGTCCTAGAGAGCCCAGCAGCAGTATGCTGGCCAGAACCACCACCAGGGTGTACTCCAACCAGCTGCCGCATCCCCATTCGTTTTCGTCTTCGTAATGTCGATGTCTGGAAGATAAAGAAGGCTCTGGATAAGGAACGTACATCATTTTGACGAGCTTGTCTTCGTATGTCAACGCTGTTTAGGAATATCATTGAATTATTATCATTATATAAGCTGTTTCCTGATGGCTAAAACTACTAAAAGGGCGTAACTTTGTAGCCAGCGATCTCCGTAATATCTATATGTGGAAGATGAAAAAGACTCGGGATGAGGAACGTACATCATTATGACGAGCTTGTCTTCTGATGTCAACGCTGTTTAAGAATATCACGAATTATTATAATTAAATAAGCTGTTTCCTGGCTAAAACTACTGAAAGGGTGTAACTTTATAGCCAGCGATCTCCGTAATATCAATATGTGGAAGATGAATAGGGCTCTGGATAAGGAACGTGCATCACTTTGGTCAGCTTCTCTCCGTAAGTCAAGGCTAGTTTAAGAATATCATTGAATCAATATAATTATATATACAGTGAGGACGTAAAAAGTCCTTCCCTCCCCCTTATCTTTTGAACGGAAGAAGCTATCGAGGTCGTGTAAAATTCAGGTAAAAAGGTACTACTTTTACTACTTTTTGGCATAAAAATGATTGTGGTCACGTGGCCTAGTGTCAAGAGGGTACCATCAACTTTTTTTTTTCAAATGTAAAAGGGGGTCACGTGGCACCTGGTTTTGAAGGCCTTCCGATTCTCTATCCACCACACCGCTGTGTTTGTGAAAATCGGCCAAGTCGTTTCAAACTGACAAGTGTTTGAAATTTGCTTCAAAAATTTTACAAATAAATTAAAAACCTAAATAACTTTTAATTGCAACAAAATTTCAATCAACAATTTCAACTATTTTAACGAGTGCTCGAAATGTTCACCGTTCACTTCTTGACAGAAAAAAAGTCGGTTTTGAAATTCATTCCGAACTTGTTTTCGGGGTAATAGTGTAACACACATCTGTTATTCGGTCCATAAGTTCCTGAAGTGACTGTGGCTGCGTGACGTACACCTTAGATTTCATGTACCCCCACAGAAAAAAGTCCATAGGTGTCATATCAGGTGACCTAGCTGGCCATTCAATAGATATTGGATTATTTGGGAAGCGCTCATTGAATATTCTTTCTGCTTCATGGTAATTTCGCCTAACTTCAGCGTGAATCAAAATAGCTTCGGTTTTTTCTTCTTAAGGACGAGGACGAGGCATTTGAAAATTATAAAAACAAGCTTAAACCTATGAGAACTGCCAAACTATCGATATGATTAACGTCAATATTAGACTGGCATTGAAATGAAATGATATTTGGAGTCTCCAGCAAAAAAAATAAGGCAAAAAAACTGGAACAGAAACCAAATTTTAAAATACCAATAATATGCGCACCTGTCTTACCACAAAAAATTGACTCTTCGACCATAATCAGTGACGGAGTTGAAATTCTGCTGCAATTAATAGTTGAAATAATTTCTTTGTGAAATTTTTGAAGCAAATTTCAATAGCTTGTCAGTTTGAAACGGCTTGGTCGATTTTCACAAACACAGCGGTGTTGGATAGATAATCGGAAGGCCTTCAAAACCAGGTGCCACGTGACCCCCTTTTACATTTGAAAAAAAAAAGTTGATGGTACCCTCTTGACACTAGGCCACGTGACCACGATCATTTTTATGCCAAAAAGTAGTAAAAGTAGTACCTAATTACCTGAATTTTACCCGACCTCGATAGCTTCTTCCGTTCAAAAGATAAGGGGGGGGAGGACTTTTTACGTCCTCACCATCACCATCAGGTGGTACTCTAACCAACTGCAGCATCCCCATTCGTTTTCGTCTTCGTAATGTCGATGTCTGATAAAGATAAAGAAGGCTCTGGATAAAGAACGTAGATCATTTTGACGAGCTTGTCAGTATGTCAACGCGGTTTAAGAATATAATTGAATTATTATCATTATATGAGCTGTATGCTGGCAAAAACCCGACAAACACCACTGAGAGGGAGTAACTTTATAGCTAGCTGTCTCCGTAATATCAATATGTGGAAGATGAAAAGGCTCTGGATAAGGAACGTACATTATTTTGAAGAGAGTTCCACCGTAGGTAGACGCTAGTTTGAGAATATCATTGAATTATTATATTTATATAGACAGGGTGTAGTCTAACCAACTTTGGTTAACTTCTCTCCGTAGGTGAACGCTATAGTTTAAGAATATCATTGAATTATTATAATAATATAGGCAAAAGCTGACTAAAACAACCACCAGATCGTATTCTAGCTAGCTGCCGCATCCTTATTCGTGATCGTCTTCGTAATGTCAATGTCTAGAAGATACATAAGGCTCTGGATAAGGAACATACATCATGTTGGTGAGCTTTTCTCCGTAGGTCAACGCTTCTTTAAGAATATCATTAAATCATTATAATTATACAGGGTATATTCTGAACATTAGTAAAACATTCCTGGGGTGATATCTAAGATATCTTTATGAAAAAGTGTCTACAAATATTTGTCGGAAAGTGCTTCCTAATAAGGGATCTACGCCCGTTCGTATAGGAAATCGAAAGCGTTCTTAAAAAAATCATCAAATTTGGTACATCCTTTAAAATTTCAATGTTGCGGCGTAAAGGATAAAACAATTTCATTTTTGATGGTACTTTTTCCTAGAGTCCCTGTATATACCTTAGACAAGAGTCCGGACACAGCTATACTTCTGTCCTTTTCTGTTTTCAAAAAATGCATTGATGATTGAATAAAGGAATAAGACATATATATCGAGCTCTGTCTTTTCAATTCCCCTAGTATCAATGATTGTCAGAAACAATTTTTAGGGTTAGATTATTTGTCAAACCGTTCATAGCCGTAGGTAGAAGTGAGAAATAGGGCTATTTCAACTAGAATTACTATTAGATTTCCAAATAATGAACAACAGGGTTTTCGAATTTCGAATCGATAATTTTCATAATCAATTCCTGAGATGACTATTGCAAATTGTCGTCATCAGATATTTCTTCACTTCATTAGATATATGAAAGATAATTTAAGTGTTCTATGTGGTATCACATATAGCCAAGACAATATAGTTGTTTTTTGTTGGGATATAAAAAAATAGAAGATATATAATTGTTCCAATAATATACTTTTAATTGTGGCAGTTTCCCACCTCTTCCTGCAGTCTACATTCACCTGTAAATTTTGAATTTGATCTAAATTAAAAACACCGTGGACTGTTAACGGCACATTGCAATTTCTCTAAATCTTCTAGTTTTGATTACAAACTTTCAATTTCTTTCCGCATCATCTCATTCTCATTTTCTTTCTCTGCGATCGTATCATTTAGTAATTCCCAATACGATGACGACGGAACTCTTTTTCTGAACGTCTCTATTTTATAAATTGACGGCACAGCAGACTCTTTCAATTTGAAATCCATCAGCTTGAAAGAATCTTTATCAAAATGGGCCTAAAATTCATCTTTTTTGTACTGTTATTTCAAGTAAATTTGAATATTTACCTCACATATTGCGGATTTCCTGAAATTAATTTTCCATTCTGGACGTTTCATTGCATTCTTCCGTGACATCATCTTTAAAGGATCATTCGGAGAATCGAATAACTTGAATCCCTTCCCTAATGAATTATCGCAATAATGTACGCAGCAGGACATTGAAATAACTCAAAATGCTAAATTTTGGCGGTCATAAAATTTCAGTGACAGTGACAGAAATTCGAAATAATTAAAAAAGCGGGCGGGACGACGATGGTGTTTCGTCATATTGTCAGGTGGACAAACCAAATGAAACAAAATATTAAAAACCCCAACGGCTGTCAGTTATGTGTCCGGACTCTTGTCTAAGATATATACAGGGACTCTACTTTTTCCCACATCCTAATTTCAGAATATGATACCCGACAGTTTTTCACGTTGAAAAAGTACTTCCAGTTCAGATCGATAGAGCTAGCTTTCTCACAGGGTGATTCAAAATTGCAGTAACAAAACAAGCTTTGGCAGGCGATTTTTAATTTCCATTTAAGAAGAAAATTTCTCAAGAATATATAATGTCCAGAAAAGCTTCATTTCCGAAATACATGGTGAAAATTAGTTATTTATTATACAAGGGAAAAAAGTAGTAGATTTTAGCACCAGGTTGTGTTGTCTCCCGACGCGTAGCGGAGGGAGACAACAAACCGTGTGCTAAAATCTAATATTTTTCCCGTGTATAATACACTATTTTTTTCTGTGACAGGAAGAAAGACGCTTTAATATTGAAAAGATATTACATAATATAATCAGAAAATTATCAATGTGAAATTTGTACTTCTTACACCTCCATTGTGGGCATCTTTGTTGCTATGTCATTCTATTGTCATATTCTGTCAATGTAATTCTGTGTTTTGATTTTTGATTTGAAAATCATTGCGAACTATATAGTGATTTAGTAGTTATTTTGGATAATATTAAATGTCTGAATTCGAGTTTTCTCTTACTCCACCGGAGTTAGTTGAAGCAGCGAAAGAAGCGTCACAAAAATTATTGCCAGCTGAATCGCGGAAAATTTACGAAACCGCGTATTCAAGATTCATGGAATGGAGAATGAAAAAGTCATGCAGTTCTTTCTCGGAAACGGTGGTATTGGCCTATTTTTCCGAACTGGCTCAGCAACAAAAGCCATCAACAGTGTGGTCAAATTATTCAATGATTGAAAGTATGTTACAATCCAATAATAATGTAGACATATCAAAATATCCCAAACATTCCTGAAACAAAATGGGAAAGGTTACAAACCCAAGAAAGCAGCGATTTTTACGAGTACACAAATTGGCGAATTTTTAAATAATGCTGCTGATGAAGTTTATTTAATGGCCAAAGTTGTTGTTGTATTCGGGATTGCAGGAGCTTGCCGAATTTGTGAAATCAGCCAGGTAACATTAGATGATATTGAAGATTCAGGAACGATATAAGTTGTGAAACTCAAGCAAACAAAGAATGATGTGGACAGAAGATTTGTAGTTACTGAAGAATATATTAAATTCGAGATTAAATTTTACCGAACATACATAGCCCTGGCGTCCAGCAACAACAAAGGATCGCCGCCTGTTTTATGCATATCGAAATGGAAAATGTATCAATCAAGTTGTGGGTAAAAATCAGTTTTACAAGGTACCTGAAACAGTAGCTAGCACATTCAATAATTGTACTTTTGATTTGAAGGAAATGTAACTTTCGTTTAATAAAATATTCTGAATCAAATATCTACCATACTTATGAGTATCCGGGAAAAAAGTACTCACTTTTTTCCCACGGGAAAAAAGTAATTTTTGAAAAGTGACATTTTATAACCTGTCAACAGATATGAAATGTCAAACTTTTTTCCCGTCACAGAAAATACATATTCTTTGGAAACCAGAGAATTGCCTAACGAAGTCAAAACTACAATAATACTACAATATATTATCAAAAGCCATTCGAATTCATGTCAAGAATATAGAACAGTAAATCTTGATAGTGTCCTAATTTCAATAAAACCAAACATGTGGTTCGATTCTTAATTTTGGCGAAGTCGCCTATTCCGATTAGATCGAAATATCTGCTTATGCCCACGGACTACTATATTTATCATTATTAAACAGCACGAACGCGACAGTAGGTAGTTTCCTATACCTAAATCCTATTATTGTCTCTCTTCGTGGTATGGTGTGAAAAAGCAGGTAGGATGGGTAGTGAAAATGTATTCTATAATTTGGTTCAAAATCATTTATTTTAAAATTTGGAAGTAATGGAGCTTGTGACATAAAAGTTCATAGACATGAAGTATCTGAAGAAATTCAATATTGCAAGAGTTTAGGATTCTGGATATTCATTCCTCTGGAAATGACGAAAGTTAAAACATTAATGATCGTTATTGAAACTATTTTGTCAAATTAAACGAAGGTATTGTATAATATGATTCGTAGAGTGCATTCTTGAAGGATTCAATTCACGCCATCGGCTGATTTCAATTCCAACAAAATCTGCACGGTGTTACATAACATTGTAACAAATTTCAAGCATACATTTCTCGCAAGAAAATTGAAAGAAGTTTCGTAATTTTACAGGATACAGTGTATGGCAAGTTTAAAGAATCTTGTTTTTATCAATTCCTAGACCTGATGTCCATCAAATTTGGTAGGTTCGTTTGCAATAACAACATATACTTCTGATGTATTCAGATCAGTGGCTGATATTGATATGAAAAAAAATACCTTGACACTGTTTCTCGAAAAGTAAAATAGTTGTTTTGAATTGTGCGATTCTCAAGAATTTTCCTTGAAACTTGTTTCCTAGGTGAAGATAACGATTGTCTTTCGAAGTGAGTTGAGCAAATTAATCAAGGGCCAAAAGAGTCGAATCTTCCATTGCTCAATCCGAAAGAGACATTCAACTCAGAAAAACAGTGGCGGGACATATTCTTCGATTCTGATACTCATCCGCTGCTTATGACGCCTTTAGATAGATGAAACAAATCCTCATCATTTTGTTATTTCAATAAAGCTTATCAAATATCAAGAAAATCGAAGGTATGTTTTTTAGTGATGAATGATGTAGATGTTATATTTTCTCAAGTCTTCAATATCCAGAATCTCTACTACGGATCAAAATAGCCTTTGCCATTTCATCATAATCAATATCAAAAACGATTGGTATAATATTGAAACCTATACTGCACAAATTCTTGCTAATTGAATGCACCCAAAACACTTGAATCAGGTCATTATGCTAATGAGGTGAGGGTAGATCAACATTGTACCTATACGATGAATAGTACATGGGCCAAAACAAAATACCAATATAACTCAAGAGTCGTTACGATTTATTTGGGTAGCAGTGTACCTACCTACTAGAGTTTCAAATACAATATTATTTTGAACTTCTTTTGCCGTAAGCAAAATTTATATAAACTTATATCCAAGAATGAATGAAACTAAGATATGTTTTTTTATATTGTTGGCAATTGTTTGCTCAAATTTGAATCAAGGATTCAACTCCCAAAGTTTGTCGGTGTTATTCTGAATTGCCCTACACATTGATACTTTCAACTTTCTCGCAATATCTAGAAACTTATCTTCTCAGAAGTCACTAAATGCACAACACAACACAACGTTGTTCACGTTGTAACACAATTTAGCACTTTATTCACGGATGAAAGTTCAACACAAATTGACTAGTGTTGTAATTATAATGATCATGCATCGTGTGTTGTTGTTCTATCGTGGACCGCCCAATATGTCATGTTTATTTTTAATTTTTTAACGAACCTGAAGGTTGGTTAATTATTTAATCAGTATAATTTTCCCTAAAATTCCATTTAATTAACATTCTATAGACTGGTAACGATGTCTGTACCTACATAACATTCGAATGGTGAAGGAGACTACACAAAGAATGATGCTTTGAAAATTGCGTTCGTCGATAAAATCATATACACTGTGTCCAAGATAAGAATGTCTATCATGAGGATCTCGGAAACCATAAGAGATACGAAGATGGTTAAATTAGAGAAATATGCCGATTTCGTTTTAATTTTTTTCTGACGTTATTTCAAGATAGATAGAAAAACTAAAGACACTTTCTAATTGCCACTTTTTGAGCTCTACAAAACAGCGTTGAGAAATTTCTCGTACGACGTTTCGTTTCGGAGAAACCATCATCAGTGAAATGACGGCGCAGTATGGTGTAGTAGGCTATTATTATCCGTGTTTTGAAATATTGAATTGAAATCACGTTATTGAAGATCTAAACACTTCATACATATACGTAGGTAGGTCACGTCATATGTTAATTATTTATACAAATTAGTTAAGAACTATTTACTAGAAATTCAAAAAAATAATTGAAATTATAGAGAATGTTCAAACAAATTACCATTATTCTCCAAACACAGATAACATCTTCTAACTGACGAATTCAAAACACTCCTCAACATATCAGGTGTAATGCTCTCGAACGCCTCAAGAACTAAGTAATCAACGATTCAAAAACCCGGCGGTAAACATAGTTTTTGCAATACCCCCGAGAAAAAAGTCGAGCGGAGTGATTTCCGGCGAACGAGGGGGCCAAGAAACTGTTGAATGTGTATCTATCCATTTTCTCGGAAATCTGTTCGATAAATACTCGCGCACGATTAAGGCACTGTGCGCGGGCGCACCATCCTGCTGAAACCAACAGTTTATTACCATTGCAAGCAGTAACTTGTGCAAAGCTCCTTCCAAATCGCGTTCCAATAAGTTACAGTAATGCTCCGAGGTGATGGAATTGTTGTAGAAAAAGTTCCAAAAATCCCAACCCACATATTAAAACCAAAACGGTGCTGATGTCTAGCCATTCGGTGTACTCGGGGATTATCCCTTGACCAATAATAGGTATTTCTTCGGTTGAAAATTCCATTATTTGTTGCCATACTCCGTGGAAATGTTTCATCTTCCTGACTCTCCCTGGTGTACCATTCACAAAATGTTCTTCGCCTTTCCTCGTCACCAGGTCTGAGGCCTTGAAAGATTCTGAATTTGAACGGGTGGAATTTCTGTTTTCTCAAAATAAAATGGGCAAAAAATTTCGCTATACCAATGGTATTGTCAATTTTTCTAACAGATATTTCGGGGTTTTCATAGTTACAGCTAATATCACATTATTTTCATTTTCTTCATCACAGGACTTATTTCTTGACAATAATGGTTTCATAAATGCACCTTACTACTTAAAATTCGAAAGCAATCGTCCGAACATTTTTGAACTGGCTTGTCTTCTCTCTGGAAAGTTATTTGAATACATACAATCAGCTTCAACGGCGTTGATATGGCGTGAGATATAATATTTCAACATATCAAACTTTTCCATTTTGTAACAAGAAAAATTTCTAGCAAGAACAAAGTTCAAAAACACTAGATGTCAATAATATGTCAATAAAATTATTTTGACATTTCCTCAGCGCCGTCATTTCACCGCCTACTACACCAAAACGTTCGAAATAATAATAAAAACTATATTTTCCTTTTCAAATATTGCAGAATCATTATGTGTCATACATCGTTGTATTCGTAATGACATATGCTATTCAATACAGGGTATACTTTTTTTACGGGCCATATACAAAAATTAAGTTGATGATGGTTTTTCCGAAAAGAAACGTCGTATGGGGAATCTCTCAACGCCTTTTTGTAAAGTTCAAAAAGTGGCAATGTGAAAGTGTCACTCGTTTTCCTATCAATCTTCAAACAACGTCAGGAAAAAATAAAAACGAAATCGGCATATCTCGGTTTTTCAGACATATCTCCGGAAATACTCGGCATTTTGAAATTATTCAAACGTCATATTGTTAGGCTCAAAAATGCGCAACTTTTTTCTGATTTAACCATCTTTGTTTTTCTGATGGTTTCTGAGATCCCCATGATAGACATCCTTATCTTGGACACAGATATCATGGGAGCAAAGGTACATTTCCTCCGCTACGCGTCATGCATCAAACTTCACACGCGGGAGGAAATGGAAACCTTTCCTCCCTTGATATATAAATAGCAATTAACATTATTTCATTTATACAAACAAATGATATGGGAAAATAGTGATGCAATGCCAGGGACCTTGAGCTTAGTGGATAATCACAATGAACAAACATCAATGTTATATATCAATCGCTATCTTGAACGCATGTGATGATATAATAAAATTATAAGTTATTTAATTGTAGATATTTATATAGGTATCGTAATCTTACCTATGTAGTAAAGCGTGTTTATATCCAAAAACACAAGAGTTCTTCTTAACACCGTTCTCGTTAGAGAACATGGTTAGTTTTTGTTGATGATGTTCTATCACATAACCTAACTTTCGAAACACATTTTCGCGTGTCGTGGAAGTTCTGCTGAATTCTGCTATTTGTTATGATCATTCAAACTGCGTTCAATCCTCACTACGTATAGACAAACAGTTTAAAAGTAGCATCATTTCGTATTCAAGGTGATAAGGTAAAGGCGTTTTGATAGGAATTAAAGTAGGTAGATAAAGTGACACTGATGGCGCCCCTCTTTCAGTAAGTATAACTAGCTATTTATGTAATCTTTATAAATAATGGACTCATAACAACTAGAATGATTATGTTGTTGTTGAAAGAACAGACAGATGAAATGTTTCACATCACATATTAGTACCTATAGGAATATACATGTAAATAATATCTTTAAGTGGTGTTGGTCGTTATTCAAAGTTGGAAACTCACTCGGAAGATATGCAGTACCTATAGGAAGATTCAACATGTGTTTTTTGTGCGAAATCAAATTCACTTCGAAATGTACTTTTGTATATTCTAACAAAATTTCGAGAATTGTCAGCGCCACCTATATATTTTTCACCCAGAATAACACTCTATTTGATACCTCATAACACTCTTTTTTTTATGTACTGGTTCCCACGAAAAAGGATATCCTGTTATGTTCAGAGGACATCGTGAGAACCAAGGGAAATAAGGTAGGAATTGGTATTATTCTTAAATTTCTGGAAGTAATATGCCTCGGGGAACACCTCCCTTGGCAATCTGTTCCAGAGTCACGCTGTTTCTGCAGGTCTCCAAAGTGACCACGAAGGGGTGCGAAGCCTCAACTCGACGGGTTGATCTCGCGGGGACTGCCAAGAGAGAAACAATTGTTGATATTTCAGAAGAGCATCGTCCATGAGAATATCTATTAAATAGAGCCAGATCGCCAAGTTTTCTACGGTGTTCCAGAGAAGTGAGTGAGTTTGTGAGCGAGGCATCACCCACGAGACGAATTGCCCTTCTTTGGACAGAATCCAACAGTTTCAGGGTATGTTTGGGTGCTGCATTCCAAATATGGGAATAGTATTCCAGGACAGGTCGGATCTGTGCCTTATAGATCATAAGCAGCTGACTGGAAGTGAAATAGCTCCTGGCCCGAAACAGAAAACCAAGTTTTTATTAATTGATCTCTCAGTGCTGAGATCGGCTTTTCTGCCACTGAAGCCATTTCAACTAAATATGATTACCGATTAATTGGCATACATACAGTGTTTCGGTGATTTTTATCGTATATCTAGAAAACTGATCAGAATTTGAATACTTTCCCAAAGTCGAATAATTATCATATTCATACTTTTATCCGCTTTTATCCATCAGATTTTAGACATCGGCCAAGAACGTATGGTTTGGACAATCTGTACAAGACACACTAATTGGATATATCTTCCACACTCCACAAAAAAGCCATTGACATTATGACCTTATTGCTTTCTGTTTATGATTTCATCATATTTCATCTATGCAGTCAATCGGTATTCCTAAAACGCAAGAGATTTTTTTTATATGCCATAAATGGCACCGTTGAAAGAGGGGCTCAGCTGATACAGGGTAGTCTCTTCAAGATTTTCGCGAGTCGATATCTTCAAAACTAATTTCAAACTCGAACCATTCGAGTATGAAGTCATTCCATTCAAGTAATACCAAATCCAGAAAGTTGAATGCTCAGTCCATGTTAAGCTATTTCGCAGGACGTCCTGAATTTGAGGTATTTTGTCCTGCGTCCTGTCGAGATCACTTGAAGGACGCTAAATGTCCTGAATTTTGTGGCCTATCGAGGTAACTCCATCAACATCGTCTAATGAAGTTTTTTAGCTATGAGTAAATATTTATCTGTAGGTAAGAATAAGACTGACATATATACAGAGTGCAGAAATACCCCATCAGTTTTATTCAACGGAACTTGCTATGCTTTCTCAGAGACGCACCTCACTTCCTGGGCGATGTTTCTTCGAGGAAGCAGAACTCATGATCGAAATTTTATAAGGTCATGTTTAATATTAGCTCAAATTCAAGTGAAGTGATAGAGTCCAGTCAGTTACAATGGTGGACATCAGAGAGGGAAAAGAGGTCTATTAGAAGTGCAGCAGTTATTTGAAAAGCATCATTGATCTACCATCTCTCAATGACATTCTCATAAGCGATGTTGAACCCCCTCTCTACCCACTATTGTATCAATGATAGCACTTCTAGAAATGAATAGATCCGATGAAAGCGCGCCAGCGACGTATCATGAATGTTCATGAAGCGGTTGTTAGGTGAGGTTAACTAAGAAAATGATGAAAGACAGTAATTTCCTACTATCGTACTCATAGCGATAGAGTTTCATGATGCTAACTTTGCTGCCAGCTGCCAGCATTGACTTTTATTTCCTGAGAGATTAGAAGTGCCACTTTAGTTTCTCAAATTAGAAGTTCCCATTTATTCCCCGAAGTACATGAACTATTAACGTATTTCATACCGTTTTTCTCCCGATTTTTAATAGATTGTCTTGCATTTTCAACTACTTGTGGTCCTGAAAATCATAAATTCAAAGGTGGCAACTCTAAGTAAATGGAGCATCGTACGATAACGTCAAAATTCAAAAAAGCATTTCTGGTCGGTTATTGATCCAAATACGAGCTTATAAAGCTATAGGACAGGTCAGCATCACAAGGTACATGTATAAATATAATGTTTCTCAAAAGTTAACAAACAATAGGAATGTAGATTAAAAGAAAAAGAGGAAATATCTGAACAATAATAATTATCGATGATAAATTTCAGGTAAAATATTCTATATATAACATTGGAATAAAATTATTGAAAATCATACATCAGAAACTAAAGCTTGTATGGAGTGATACCCAGTAAAAAACGTTTTTTTTTTCTGAAAATATGAGCTTGTTCAATTACTTTGAGCTCACTGGGAAGTACATTGTATAATCTCAGTCCTATCACGTTTAGTGATTTTTGGCAGATGGTGAGATGTGGATTTGGTAAATGGAAATCGTTTTTTCTCCTCGTGTTGTAATCGTGGTGCTGAAATAAATATTTACTCGCGTGGATGTATGTTAAAACTTCTGAAATATAAAGACCATAAAGTAGGAGAATTTCAAGTTTCTTGAAAATATCTCGACATGAAGTCTGCTGGAAGACGTTTGCAAGAGAACGTATTATTCGCTTTTGTGCTATGAATACATCTTTCGCTGCTGGAGAGTTTCCCCATATTGTGATTGCGTAGCAGATTCTTGATTGAACCTGAGCGTGATAAAACAGCAGTGAACTAGGTGTATCTAGAACACTTTTCAAGATTCTAATTTGGAAACATTTGGAGTGTAGAGCGCTAGTTGGATCTTTGCAATGTGATTTGAAGCTGAGATCATTGTCGATTATGATACCTAAGAATTTGGAGGATGTACTGTGTTCAAGAGGTGTGCCACAGATGTTCAAGTCTAAGAGTGGTAGATTGGTGTTTTGTCTGGTATGGAAAGTAGTAAAACTTGTTTTTGATGTGTTTAGAAATAGTGAGTTGTTGCTCAGCCAACTATGTAGGGCATCAGTTGTGTTGTTTATTTTATTTTGGAGTTCAAGTGGGGATTCATCAGAGAAGAGCAGGGTAGCATCATCAGCATACAAACATGTGAAGGCTCCTGGCAGAACAGTTGGCAGTTCATTTATATAGATAATGAAAAGTATTGGTGCTAGGACGGACCCTTGAGGAACACCAATGTTGTTTTGTTGTGCATGGACTTGAGATATGAGTTATTGTTTCATTATCGCTGGTGTGATTGATTTCAACCCGCTGGATTCTTCTTTCAAGGAAGGAACTGAACCATTCATAAGTCTTTCCTCTTATTCCATTCAAATGAAGTTTATCAAGCAATTAACAGCAGGAAACCACTGCAGGGTTAATGATCATAGTGTTGTTTACCTTTGGTAATATAACAATAAAGAAAGTCAGATACCTAGTAGGTTGAAGATAGTCACTTTCGCTGTGAAATAATTAATTATTATTGAAGTAAATAACCATAACTTCACAGTTTAGCAAGTATCCCATGATACATTGCATAACAATAGACAACACGGTCTTCTGACTAATAAATCCGATTGAATAGATGAGATAATGGAGGAAACTGATGTCATGAGCGTAACTATATATCGGTGTAATTTCGAAATATCTGATAGTTGCAGAAAAACTACATGAAGTAGAAGAAATCGCAAAACTTTTAGGAAGTTTTGGTTGGTAATTTTGATAAAATTCAACAGATCTTCAATTGGTGTCCGGTATTCACATTATCACAAATAGAAAACTTGAATAGCGGTCTACTCAAACACAAAAAGCACCTGCAGTTGTTGCAAGAATCTGGATGACCTATAGGCATATTCTTTTCTAAACTAATTTTTCACCACCGAATCGCTTTCAAGATATCACATTTTCATAATAAAACAGCACAACATTGGTATATTTTTATTAAAATATGTTCATACAGTATGGAAACCTATGATGGAATAAAAACCGCATTTTTCAATTTCGAAATTCAATTTTTCAACATACAATGATTTAATCCCTTTTTAACCTCCTGCTTTACATATTATTCTCTTTGCTCCCATCACCACGGCTTCGAGGATGGAATCTTATTGTTTAGCATGTTCTCTTGTTTCTTTCTTGATGTTGAGGTTCCATGTATTATTTTTCTTTTATGTTCTGATTCCCACGAAAAGGGATATTCTGTAATGTTCAGAGAACATCGTGAGAGCCAAGGGAAATAAGGTAGGAATTGGTGTTCTTCTCGAATTTCTGGAGGTCATATGCATCGACTAACACCTCCCTAGGCAATGTGTTCCACAGCCTCGCTGTTCGTTGGATAAACGAGTCTCTGGAAAGAGATGTTCTGCAGGTCTCTAAAGTGACCAAGAAGGGGTGCGAAGCCTCAACTCGACGGGTTAATCTCGAGGGAATTGCCAATGAAGGAATAATTGTTGATATTTCAGAAGAGCATCTTCCATGGAAATATCTATAAAATAGGGACCAGATCGCCAACTTGTCTACGGTGTTCCAGAGAAGTGAGTGACTTTGTGAGCGAAGCATGACCCACGAGACGAATTGCCCTCTTTTGGAGAGAATCCAACAGTTTCAGGATATGTTTGGGGTGCTGCT